TTTAGCCAATGATATGTGAATCTTCCTTATAACGCGGCGGTAATTCCAATTGAAAGCTGCCTGAGGGCAAAAAAGAACAGAAGGTGAGCTGCACCCAGGGGGACGAGAGAGTCATCGGTCACTGATTTGGTCAGATGCATAAGGAGTGTACATCGAGGTACATTAATGACCCAACAGGCATTCCTCACCCAGATGTTCGTTACTGTATTCTCCCACCCCCAGTTTCTCTCTTTTAGTCATTCCTTTTATCCATGTACTTCTTATACCTTTTGGTCGTCTCTCTCAACTAACCAGCATCCCTGGTCGCGGCATCTTTCGGTCTCACTCTTCTCCCAAAGTCCCGCGCGATCGCGTTGGGTGGTCTCACTACTCTTTCGAGTTGCTCGACATTGCCGCTGCAGCGCGGGTATTGTCGATGCTCCTCCTGCATCCCCCTATCGTATCCTTGCTCGCGAGTGAATGTATATATGCACACATTTGTTCCAGTCGAGGAGATTCTCTGCTGAAAAAAATATACTTAATAAGTTAAAGAATTAATAAAGATAATTGTAATGATAGTATGTAAAGAGGATAATAATTCACCTTTATTTATTTTTATTTATTATATGAGTCAGACGGTAATGCTTTTCTCTTCTCTCTCCCCTCACATCTATTTGCTCCATAAGTGTGTGTTTCATTTTAGCCCCGACATTTCAGCTCGTTAGGATAACGAGGATCTAATACGCGTTCACTGCCCCCGCCAATTACAAGGTACACATGACTGCCGCGTCTTTCGGCGATTCACACGCGGTACCGGGATAAGATGAGAAGCCGAGATATCTTATAAGATCGTGTGTAATAGTTGTCACTCCTCTTTTGCTTTTGATACCACTCCAATGCTTTTTACACACCATCTATACACTTTTTAACTATATGTATTTATTTATATATGACTCGACGCAAGTGATCTATGGCAAAACATCTGTGCAGATCATAAGTGTATATATAATTCTTGACACATTTATAGCTTGACTAAATCATCCAGAGTATTTCACACTCCCTGATTTTCAAAAGCTTCTGAGATAAATTCTCTTTTGCTCACGTATATACAATTTTCTTTACTTTTATATCCTCGTTAGAATCATTTTGCTCCATTTCAGATCAAGGAAAATTTTTTTTTAATAGGACCTCTAATATTTATTATTAGGGGAATCTGAGGTAAGATTAAGTGTGAGAAATTCTCGAAAAATTAGTGGCGGTTCTTTTGTTGGAATTTATTATGCAGCGTATGGAGATTTATTTAAATGCATTATTTTTATTTGATTTCATTCAGAGAGGAAACATTAAAATCTGATATTCAATAAATGCATTGGTTTAAATTTCATTATCCGATAATTAGTCATAAATTGAAGATAGTAATCAAAATTGAAATATTTAAATATCAATGAATGGTAAATTCATTTGCTATTAATAAAAAATTTGATAAATTCTTTTAAGATTTTTATAAGACTGTATGATATATTTCATAATCTGGTTTTGTAGTAAAATTCAAATAATTTTTTCCAATAAATTACTCATTTTGTAACACAATGTGACTGAAAAAATCTATTTTGAATTAATTACATCAATAAGTAATAAATATTCTTTCACTAACTTATTAATCATGCTTGTACTCAACGTTTCTAATCTATTGTTCAAACTATCAGTGTATATGTCGATTTATTATAGCAATAAAAAATTGTATAAAAAAATAGAAAATAATTAATAACTAATTAGTAAGTAATGAATTTATTTGTATAATCATATGAAGAAACTCAACATTATATTTAACTGAGATTCAACAGTCAAAAGTTATTCTTTGAACTTATTTTCATCTGACATTTACAACAAAATTTAGGAGACATAATGTGTTTTCCCATTATAATAAATCATTATAAAATAAATAATTATAAAAAGATAGATTTACAGCCATATAAATCCTTGGTTTTTCAAATATTTCTCATTGAATAACTTATAGTAAAAACTTTCACCTGATAATCATTACTACATTTTTAATTATTTTCCACTAAAATATACAACACGTATTAATTAATCAAAATACCTATAAATTTCTTTCCAAAAAAAAATATAACTTACAGATGTATTTTAATATTTCCAAATCAATTTTTAAAATATATTAAATCAGTAAAATGTCCATAACTTATGAAGCTAATAAAAAATTTTTTATCTCTATACAATCATTATTAACTTATGTATGTCCCATGTATAATATAAGGCCAATTATTTTCATGATAACACTATCAAAATAAATAAGTCTCATTATAACACATTAATTGATTCGAATTAACTTGAATACATCTTCGAATAGATGTGGATTAGATAGTAAAGTTGAAACCAAATAAATGACATCGTAGTGTAGTGGCAAACTAAATAAAAAACAAAGACCTTTATCAAATTTTTTATCTAGCAAATGAATTCTGTGCGACTTTACGAAACTGCTTAAGATACTTACCGTATCATACGAAGAGATGAGAGAAGTACTTAGCGATTAACAAGAGCTCTTGGTCGCCATTAATTTGTGGCTTGCAAGGTGGTACACGAAGAGAAAATTTAGTGAGCCACTGGCAGCCAGTGTAGAGCCCCTAATGGCCATTGCGATGTCTGCGGTCTGTTCTTCGGCCATGCCCTGCAGTGACTCACCCCTCGCGTGTGTTATCTCATCGCCATTGCAGTTATATCCAACCCTCCGACTGGCATTCCGACAATTGTGAATTGTTGCACCTGGAAAACACAGCAATAGCTCTTAGAAATTTCGTGCCTCTGAACAGTAGGTTACTAGCTCCATCAAACTTATTATTACCCTACTACTCGCCCTACTAGGGGTTAAAACGAAAAATGTTCTCCATGTTGTCAGCCATATATCTCTTTGAATATTTTATAACTCCATTCTTCTACTGTCGCGTGTAGAGGTACAAAAAAATAAGTCATATAAAGAAGTCAATAAGCAGGGTACAGTTGTTATGCAAAAATAGACATTGAAATAATAAATGATTTCGAAGTATGCACCAATCGAGAACAGCATGAGCATATTGGTTTGCTATAGAAATTCTTCAATTCCATAAAAACCAATTTACGGTATCGATATGAAATTTATTGTCCTTCTAATTACAATATTGGCCTTATTAATATTTGTTCAATGCTCTAATGATTACCAAATAAATTATTGAATCCAAAATATTACAATAATTATCTAATCAATATTTAAATTAAGGTCTCTCAATGATATAGTACTTTGAAAAATTAATCTGTCTGAATCAACCTGAGTCGTAAATAATTACATGTGTATAACTTTAGTCATATTATTAATAGAATTTTATTATTTTAATTATCTGACATCAATTTAAAATATTTTTAACACACTTGGTTCCTAATTGTCTCTCAATAATTGATATAATATATTAAACCATTGGTTAAATTTGTATTATAATCGTCATTATCATCATTATTTTTATTCAATCAATCAAAATAAATGGATACTATGATATACACTTTATAACTAGGTAGAAAATATAACTATCGAGAGAATAGTTTGTTAGAAAATCAATAAAAGTTAGCTCCATAAATATTTTCTATTTACCACATATAAATAGAATTCATGATTTATTTATATGTTTGTAATTTATTTTTCAGGACAATAAGTAAATAGAGATGAATTTAACGATGCATAGAAAAATTAATACTTGCATTAACTAATAAATCTAATTACCACAAAAAAATAGAAAGCTGGCTATTAGAGATGCGTTGGAAATTGGGATAAATCATTAAATATACATAATTATAGCCCATTTATTATTCTAAATAGTGGTAAGCGATGCATCTACAAAACAAATATAGTAAAATAAAAATAATAAGAAAATCAAATATTTGGCATCTGCATCTTCAGGGATTTATTACTGCAACGATGTAGCTATTTATCTGTCAACTGGTTAATTCGAGATAAAACGTCGCTCGTTAATTCGGGATCAATTATCGCGCAGGCCCGGTAATGTGTCACCGGAAAATGGTGCATATATATAAACACACGATTCTGCATTTTGACCACGCCTACCAAGCAAAGTAGATACATGTAGGTATAATTAGCAATTTCTCGCGCGAGAGTATTCAATCCTTGAGTGCATACGCTTTCATACGTGTCAACTCAACGTCATGCTTGTTATCATATGGAGACTCGTAAACGTGTTATCTTCACCACGTGTATATATGTGTTTATACGGAAAGATAGAGAAAGAATTATTGTATCAGGAAAGAAATGAAAAGATAAAATAAATAAGTAAAGGATTTCTTTTTGTTTCGAATCCGGTTTAATCAGTGAAGACACTGGAGAGACAACATATCAATCGATGCTGCACTTATACATAATAATATTATACCACATATTGGCTTATTACAGTCATTTTAAGATATATGGAGAACATGCAAAGTCTTTATGTATAGATGAAATGTATATATTTATAGTGATTTTCTCTTGTTCATTAGATATAAATTACAATCGTTTAATTGTAGCTATGTAATATGTACAATTTTATGAATAATCTGAGATCATAATTCATAAAGCATAATGTATACTTATTATAACACTGGATAATTAAGAAATAATTATTAACGCCTTATTAATAACAATGATAATGATTATTATTATAATATTAATATAATATTCATAATAGTGTTCATTGAATTTCAAATGCTATTCTATTAAAAAATATTTACATTTAAAAGTATGAGCATATTTATTGTAACATTCTTTTATCCTGTTACCCTATCACAAGTAAATATTGTACACATATATTATTAAGATAGTTGTACGGTTTTATCATTTCAATATATACAATTTAATAAATAATTTAAGTATCAAATGTCCATTGCAATTAAAATTAAACAAAATAACATCATACAGTACTATTTATAATAGTTCTAGATAACAAAATTTTCAACTAAAGCAGTCAATTAATCGACATCGCATATAGAATATTGCAAAAGTTATAATAATTAGTGATTGATCAATTTACATTGACAATAATAATCTATATAATGTCCAATGACATTACAGTCTCAACAACAAAAGGTTTGGCACCATAAAAGCTCTATAAACATCTAAATTATTTTTACAAAATATCGTCAATTCGGTGGGCTAATTAATAATTAACAAGATCCTATTATTGAGGTGGCTGTGATTTTGTCTCAATTATTTCTTCGCCATCTTCATCAACTGGTACTGTTGAATGATTATAGAGACCCTGCGCCATCAGTTGTAGAGCTAATGGGTTTTTCTGACCACTGGATTTCTTGATTTTTGCTCTCTTATTCTGGAACCAAATTTTTATCTGAGCTTCATTGAGTCCCAAGTCCCTTGATAATTGCTGTCTTCTCTGTTCTGTCAAATATCGATTTTCCGCAAATTCACGCTTCAATCTTGCTAATTGTTCACCACTAAAAGCTGTTCTTGGTCTTTTTTCATCTGTTGATTTTTCACTGTTTGTTCGTTTCACTCGCCTCGTTCTAGGTCCTGTAGTCATTAAAATAAATTCATTAGTACAATGTTGTCAAACTTTTTAAAAAAGAACATTTTGTTGAGGTAAAAACAGAATAGAATATTTCTTTCTAGAGTGAATAGAAGCAGGTATTTCATTGTAAAGATGAATTGATAAAAAAGCGGGAAAAAAGAGAAACTTACCAGAAGAGGGTCTGTCAGAATATCTAGTACAATAGACCCACGCAGGCCAAAGACTTTGACCATTAGCTGCGTTGGTGGTCGTACTAGTTTGTGATCCAGCGGTGCTTCCGGGGATACTGTCTCCATTGACAGAGTCAGTACCAACAGTTGAAGCTGCCGAAGACAAAGAGGGTGTACCAGTTAGGGAGCAGCCTGTTACAGAGCTGCGGTTACTTGCGAGACTCTCTAGGCTTCCACTTCTACTTAATCCCGCTGAATGCCTTTGTAGTGGTGAAATAGCATCCTGAAAGTATTCCCTATCACGGTGAACCGCGTAAGACGTTGTTGACGTAGTTGTTGAACTGCTTGAGGCGGGAGATTGGGGAGATGAGAGTTTCGTGCACGATGAATGGCTCAAGTCTCGTGCAATTCCTAGTGAGCTGTGACATGACAATTGACTGCTCAAGGACGTCGTGCTTGCAAGTGATAGGCTAGGTTTAATGGTAGACTTGCTCAAAATTGCATCGCGACCGAAGTCTGGTTTCAAAATATTAACGATGCTAAATCGTAGTGATGCTTCATCGTCTTGATGATGCATCGGTTGATGACCTACATGGCTCGCTGGAGGCGACGGTGATCGTAGTTGATGATGATGATGGTGGTGATGATGAAGGTGGTGAGAGTGATGATGAGCACTCAAGCCTAGCCTCAGGCTGTACGCACTTTCCATCGTTGTTAAAACTACGCTCATACTTGATTATCAATTTTCGTGTCAATTTGAGCTGATAAATGACAATTTTCACATTAACTTCAACTTGAATCTTTGATTTCAGCTTTTGAGTTAGTATAAAACAGACAAAGTCATTTAGCTTCTTGTTAAATCTCCACTAACTCACTGTGTCTTTTTTGACACTTGATAATAATAGCACTAAACACTTAAGAGTCCAATGCAAACACTCAATGGAGTGTCTAACTTAATGACAGAAGTGAGCGATGAAATGTTAACTTGAAGACTAGAAAGTAAAAGGAATTACGCTAGCAAATGTGTCACACACTTTGACCAAAGCGAATATCTAACTTGGAGACAAATATTTCGATTAGCTCAAGGCTTCCGAGTACTGGAGTGAGTGCCCTGACGGGTCCGACTGGCTGTCCATCCGTCGGATGGTGATGTCTAAACTACGGGCCTCAAGTCCCTACTTACTCCCTTTCTCCTCAGATTTCTCCCTGAACCTTACTCACTCCTCCTACACTGTAACCCAGTGCAGTGCACTAGACACCCTGATTGTATCTCTATTAACACTCGGGCTTGTCTCCGCCTACTGAACGCTTCAACTACCTTGACTTGCTTTCAATCTCACCCCTACTCCTCTACTTCTTCAAGTAGTAGGGATAACTGACACTCCCTCCACGAGAATATGACGTTCGATCGCCAACTTCCCCTACTATTCTCTCCAGATCAACTTCAGCTTATTCTCAGTTGAATTGTCACTTAAAAATAACCTGCAAGCTCTGATAGATACATCAATAATTCTATATTCAATGATACACCATAATTTAGACCTTCCAGTATTCAATAACAAACCAATTGCTTTTTGAAAAAAAATCGATAGTGTACTCTCAATCAATAACTTACAATAGATAATAAAAACAACTAATGCAATGTTAAATCAATTTGACAAATCTTTGTTATTTTCTGCAATTGTTTCTCCAGTGTATCATCCCTCCAGGAATAAACAACCACGCCCACAGTAAGCCACGCCTCTTAGGAATCTACATAGTCCGCCTTGCATCCCCATATATGACGGGTTTCAATACTTGGTCACATAAATTCTTCGTTTCACTTTTCTAATTCGATATAAACGAGGGTTGATTCGTTTATTCAAGTTCACATTCACTTTTTCAACAATTGTAAAGTTTACCACTACTAAGAAGTGAAGAATAACTATTTTATTTGATACTTATCTACGTCTTTTTTACACTTCGTTTCTTTCCTCTAATTTGAATTTTACCGTTTTATTATATAGATGGTTTTTTTTCATCAACTTTTCGAAACTTTTACAAAAAATAATTTGAAAAATAAAATACTATATTAGTTGCCATAAAATAGTCTATAAAAGAATCAATTTCTCATAATCTCTTTCAATGTTAACGGAAGAAGTGTTAGCAGTGGTGGGGATTTAATACAAAAATGATGATTAAAAATAGTATGAGGTAAATGTGCTTGGTTGTAATTTATTTAGGATATAATTAACATGGGTAACTCTCAACATGCTAGATTATTGTGTGTACAGCATGCGTAATGTATCCATGAATATGTGTATATGTATGATAATATGAGATATGATTACAGACATGTCGTGATGACGACCATTAACATGCAAATTGTTTTATCTATAATTACATCCACATGTGCGGCTTACCAAGGAAAAGGTGCGACAATTGCCACTTGAATTCTGCCACTCTATCATCAATCTTTATGTAATTGGCTGATACCTGTAACGAGGGTAATCATAGTTGATCAATCGACCGATAATCTAGTCATACATTGAGCAATTCAATTTAATATTCTTCAATCATGAATGTACTTAAAGATGACTTTTCTATTGATGAGATGACAATAAATTGATTATATTTTAAATGATGATAGAAAGCATATAGATAAGATTGTAATAAAGTCATGAAAAAGATGCTGTTGTTGATGCAATCGAAATTGATTTTCTAATATGATTGCCTGGACAATCTAGGCTTTTTAAACCGATAGCAGGTTGTATAGTTAAGTTATATAGAGATGAGTTATTATATTGAGAAATTTCAATTTTCAAGTCAAAAGGAGAGACCATAATAATAACGAGTCATAAGTGGAAAGAATAAGACAGTACATAAAGAATTTCAGTTGTAAGTAGTTGCCCACACACCATGTGGTTCACATATCCTTTCTATTTTAAATAAATACGTATAATAGTCGACATGGACCGTAAATAAACAGGCTCTTACCAGCTTAATTCCCTCCAGGGAGTCTCGTCGCCGACATGGCTGAGACTGCAAAATGAAGAACGACTAACAGCGCGAAAGAGAATATGGGTGAGGCCGCACATTTTAAGATCCACCATGACTGTTATACCTAGCCCCCTGGGAAGATGATATTCCAAACTACCTAGAGTTTTTATACCTTCCAAAACCAGTGCCAGAGGATAATATCTAACTCATAAAATCTATTGCCTTCGTCACATTTAATTTTTTAGTGTACATTTAAATACGATAGTAGAAGCTTCTATTTACATCAACTACTGTAATTATAGTAACTATTAAACTTGCTGTATGGGCCAGGAAAAATAACAATTAAAAATAAAAGGAAGCATATAACTCCATAGACGACGCACGTTTACACGTACATCGATTTTCTTGTGTACTTGAAAGCCAAATAAAAAATGAAAACAGATCGTGTTCCTTTTATTCATGCCTTTGGTACGTGATTATTCTACGAGCGTGTTTTATAAACGGATTCTATTTATGGTACTGCGAACTCTATAATCAGCCACCACAGTGCGACGACTTACTTCGAATAATTAATTCAAGCCACTCCTACGAAAACCGGTTATCAACCAATCAATTTATCCGTATCCCCACTATTTTTATTTTGTGAATAATGGGGCGTGACTCGGTAATTTTAACCACGCCCCAATTGACAGACTCGCGTGTCATGAGTGGGAACTGGTTGTTCTTTATCTAACACCGTTATAACGTACGTGTGGATAACCAACAATGGATTCATAATTGAAGAAAAACGTTCACACTGTAATCCCAAGAAAACTACCAGGTGACTTACAATATGAGATAACATAAATCATGTTACTTTTTTTTGATCCACGCTATATAAGCTGATAACATGATAAAATTAATTAGATTGAATTATCAATAGAAAAATCATAGTTTAAGATAAAAAGAGAAAGTATATAAATAGTTGAATATGTAATTTATAAGAAACAAATATCATGAACGAAAAAAAACAATAACAAAATTAATTGTAGGCGTGGTTCAATCAATCACGAACCTCCCTTGTTCTTTCTCAACAATGAGATAATGTTCAATCGAATTCAGTTCATCACTTCATTGGAGTAGCCAAGTAAAAAATAGATTAGAAGCCATCGTATATATTGGCATGAAATATTGGATCGAGTCTAGAGACTATCGCTTGATGCATTGAATCCAATTATTGCTTATACCAATAATTGGATAATATCCTACGATTAGATCTGCTTATCAGTTCACAATTTAATCATTTATGTATCTTCTAAAATCTATATATGCTCTAGATAATAATTTATAATCATCGACATGGATAGTTACAAATATTATTTTAAAGTTTAACTAAAATATTGGATTTCACAGTTGCAATATTTATATTTTATTCAACGAGGTTCCTATAGCCATTTGGTATAGACGAGAAAGTAGATTTGTAATGTTGATGGAACCCTTATACATTATAATCATTCCCCTAATTCAGCTTATAAACACCGAAAGACCACACCCACTTTTTTTACCCTCGGGCTGTTTTGTCGGGGAGTGGGTGCGAAGCAACCATTTGTATGTAACTCACCAAGTTAACACAAACATTTATATCTCTTGCTTTTTCATTTTCATTGAATGCACGTACACGTTCTAGCTCACTTCAATATATAGAGGATATAAGCCCTCAAGTAATATGTACACCCGGTACACGCGAAGATAACCGCACCCCGGGGACCCTCGTTTATAAACCGTTCTAACACGATGGGGAACCGCCAAGTATTCCCTCTATGTACTGATTTATCGGTGGAGAAGTGATAAACGAGACGAGCTCATCTCTCTCTTTAGGGAATATCCAGCGGAGCACAAAATTATTGTCGACGATGCCTACACCGCCGTGAAGACAACAAGGACAAAGTTATATTCCGTATGCCTAGAACTGAACGGGGGATGCTGGCAGCTGTTACCGTGATGTAACGTACGACAGGGATGCTTCGATATGTCCTTATAGTTTACCAATATGGCTGAACCTTCTGCAAACATCCAAGATCAACACGCACCAATAGCAAGCTTTGATCTCATAGTTGTTCCTATTCAATATAATCTCATGCGTGGAAATTATGTGCGTTATTATGTTATAGAAAATGGACATACTTTAATATGATGTATAAATCATTGAATGTAATTATTTTGTCTGTCACGTTGAATTCAATAGACATTTTTATTCTAATGTCATTATATTCTTTTTGAACAATGCTGTTTAACAACAAAGAAAATTTTGTTGACTTTTCTCTACGACGGAAATCTGGTGAATTTATATCATAATATGTTGAATGTGTCATGATATTCCCAAAAGTATTTTGTAGATGCATTTTTCGTTGACAAAGGTATATTCTCATAGGTATTTTAGAAACAAGAAGAGTCAAACTGAACAAAAAATTTATGGAAAATTTGAAACGAGTAAAAATAGGTCAGAAACACAAATAAATAAATGGTCAAGGTTTAGTCCTTGACCAGTAAATTTTTACCTAATTGAATAGTTAGCTAAAGAAAAAACTAAAAAAAACGAATATTTTTGAAACAAATTTAAAACGACGTGAAGAATAAATTCATTTGGAGAATGAAGAGGCGTGTTCATCCATTGGGGTTTGTTACTAAATGAGCATGTTTTTCATGTCTGTTTCAACTGCTGTAATTTACAAAATTTTTAACTGAAAAATTATAAGTTCAGGTGGAACAGTTTCATTAATTTTACAGTTCTCTTTGTTAAATATTTAATATTTCAATCCCATAACAAAAACCAAACGATTTAAGTATGATTGTAAAAAAATGTTAAATCACAAGTTTCTTTACTAAAAAAAATTTATAATCCTTTTTTTTCTACACTTTGCATAATTATCTAATATTTTAAAATATGATTGAATTTTATAAACACGATATGTTTGGTAAATAAATTATCATTAATAACTGATAAAAATTTTATTGAAATTTTTTTTTTCAGAAAAAAAATATAACACTTGAAATGTAAATGATAAACATATATCTTCACGAGAATTCAAACGAGCTAAAAAAAATAACTTATTCTACTCCAAATGTCAAATATTGGTAAAAATAGAGAA